ATATGTATTCTATGAAATATATTCTATATTCATTCAGAAGTGTGTTCGTAATAAAAGGTGTAGACGTCAGTTTCAGACTTTTTGTATGGTTCAGCAGGCAACCACACAAAACATTTCCGCAAAACGCCAGTTTTAATTTAAAATCCTCAAACAATAAAATGCAGAGCAGATAACTTCTCTCTGTATCCACCACTTTGTTTACATTTGGTGAAAGAACCGTCAAAAATCAGCAGATTAAACCGACAGTCGCTCCCTGCTCAACAGACAAAACAAGTTAATCCATTTTGTTTCAGCCAAAGCTGATATAACTTGCGATTGAAAGTTCTGTCAGCCACAAACATAGCGCTTTCCAAACCTTTGAAGTTGGATTCAAACCTCATAAAGTGTAGATACAGTAACTATAGAAACTGCCTTCTTAGCCTACAGTCATTATGTCAGAGTATATTGAAATCAGAGTTATGAAAACACGTATACTGTATAATGTACTTCCATAGACAAGTGAACAAACACACACAGGCAGAGAAATAGAAAAACAGGAAGGACGTAAACAGTAGCTCAACTGATGAGTTCTAGAATTTAATGAAAAGCCTCACGGGCAGTGACTTGTGGGAAACAAAAGATAGATTCAAATTTTGAATCCGAAATGGACAAATTAAGAAGAAAGTCGAAAACAAAATTGTCTCCAGTCAACGTGAGCTTCGTCACAAATTTTTGCTTATTGGTTTGCTAATGCTTCACCAGCTTTCAGCGTTTAAACTATGACTTTTACACCGACAGACAGATAGACAGACAAGTTGGGAAGCAGACATACTGATAGAGAGACAAGAAGGTAAGCGGACGGACAGACAAATAGATCTCTTAGTCTGGAAATATATCTTGTTGATAAATTTATTATATTAATTCAAGTTAATCATTTTAATCTGCCTCATGCACGTGCATGTCATTAACGATGTACCAACATATAATACGTCATCATAGTTCTGTGATCTACCTAAATCTAAGATTGAAACTTTTGTTTCAAGAAATGTTTTTTTATCAATCTATAATTCCAAGAATCAAAGTCCATAAGTCTAGTTTCGTTTTACATCATATGTAGTTTCGTGTGTTTCGTCAATAACACTACCTTGTTACTCACCATCTTACAGACTTAAAATTGCAGAATGTGTGCAGCAACATCACGTTTCACATCTAGGACCGTTCGATCCGCAGCCCTACACGTTAACCACTAGGCCACGTCAGGCCCACACAAATACCCTTTCGGAACATTTTAAGAAGAGCGTGGAACATGCATTTGCTATGCTTCTCACTCTGAAATAATCATAACGTTTTGAGTTACAAAGATCTGAAATGAAATAGTAACTCTCAAGAAATATCGTGTTCAGTCTGTTAAAACACTGCTCTGTAAGAACCTGTTAAATAATGAGAATTGAACAACGTGTTCAGTCTGTTAAAAACACTGCTCTGTAAGAACCTGTTAAATAATGAGAATTGAACATTCGTGTTCAGTCTGTTAAAAGATGGTGTCATTGTCATTTTAACGCAAAGCTACACAATTGGCTAGTTACACTTTGTCCACCGCGGAGAATTGAAGTCCATCAACTTATCGCTGACCCATCGGGGGACAGAGTTTAATGAGTAATTGATGTTTAATGATTTTGAAATCTCTTTACGAAAAGAAGCAAACGTTGTTCAATTCTCATTATTTAACAGGTTCTTACAGAGCAGTGAATTGTGAAGGTTTTAAAATGAAACCTATTAAGTTTTCACATTAGTGGATAGAAAATAAATAAAGATCAAATGAGTAATAAAGTTTTGAGATATACTAATTTTTTTTTCAGAGTCGATAAAATATAGAATGGAATGTATAAACGAAAAATCACAAGAGTCAGTAAATTTTCTGCTGCGCTTATGATTGTAAGTGGCTAGAAAGCCAAACCATTCATCTTCCCAAGATAAATGTTTAATACATCTGGCATTACGCCTAAACTCGTCATGCTACTTCCTTCTAGTGTAACCATCCGCCATGAAAAATAAAACACAATATTATTTCTATTTTTTTCGTGTGGTTTTTTATCCTAAATAAGCTAAGAATATAATAACAATAATGAGTTCTTAAACGAAATTACGGGCGAATTAAAAATGAATTAGTTTGTAATGAGAAATATATTAGCTCGTATCAAATCATACATGACTAAATGAGTTGTGAAAGTTAAGTTCTGAAACCTAAAACTATTATGCTTCTCATCTGCAGAGCAAAAATCGATGGTAAGAATCCTTCCAGTGGAGTGTTTATACCACTCTAGACGGGTAACTTTACAGCACTTGAAGGTTAAGGAAACACAAGTGCTTAAGTCAGCCGATAAGCTAGACAGCCTCAAACGCATTTCCACCAAGAAAAGATGGAAGGTGACTTTATATACAAAACTATGTCATTAATTCACGAGATTAATATTTTCGGATGGAGAACGTTTGGATTGCTTCGAGCTATTTTAAGATATTATTTAAATTTGGAACTTATATTTCATTTCAGCTTAATGTGACGAACATTTGGTTTATTCTAATATTCTAAAAATGAAAAATAAATTAATGTGGACTTGGGATCCGCTGAGAATTATAACTGTTGAGTGCAAAATGTCGTTTATATCCAATGTGAATTATTAATAATACTTTTTCTGCTCATAATTTCGTTTCTAGTGAATACAATTTTTCTGTGTCGTCGGAGGAAAAAGAAAAAAGAAGTCGCTACCTCTTAAAACCAAAACATTAGTAGTAAAATCCCAATGAACATAGTCCTCAAGTTTGTTGTCTTTTAAGTGGCGCCCTCTGGATAAACTGCCTCATTTTAGTCATTGGTCAACTCACACGTGACGTATTGATTGCTCTAGCAACCAGAAACAACGAGTGCGCTGCAAAATTCCGCGGCTCGTACCACACCAGTATAGAATCAGGCGTAGAAATAAGCAAGAAGGATAACCAACTTTATGTTTGATACGACTTTACGAAGTATTGGGGAATATATTAATTCCAATACAGCATAATATTTATTATCTGAAGTTTCAGTAAAACCTAAAAATCAAAGTTTTCGTTTTCGAGCAGAAAACAACAACCGAACTGCGTATATTACTTCAAACAGCGAATTGGAAACTCTTTTAATACTTCCTGTTAAAGTTCCAAGTTACTAACCCCCTAGTCATGCGCCCCAATTGCAAGAATGTCTTATTCATGACCTGTATGCTTCTGATCACAGTGTTTTTCAAAGCGGGGCGTTTCGAGAAGACGAAATCGGATGGTAAGCAACAAATGTTATTATTTCCTGTGGTGCTAGTTTCCTCTATAACGTACACTCTTGTACGGTCTAAGATCTTCTGATGAAGTAGCTACACGTGACATTTGTGTACGTTATTTTATCTAATGAATTGTTTGTTTATTTGTTTTGGATTTCGCGCAAATCTACACGAGGTCTATCTGCGCTAGCCGTCACTAATTTAGCAGTGTAAGACTAGAGGGAAGGCAGCTAGTCATCACCACCCACCGCCAACTCTTGGGCTACTCTTTTACCAACGAATAGTGGGATTGACCGTCCCAGTCTTCGTGGCCCGGCATGGCCAAGTGGTTAGGTCGCTTGACTCGCAATCTGAGG